ATCAATGCAAAAGACTAAATAAAGATGTAGGTGTTAAAAGATTTGGGGGTGGCCTAGTAGGGAGGAAGGTTTAAAAGTTATTTTGCTTTTAGACAAGCAATTGGTTCCACATTTGTTAAAGCTTTTTGGATGGAGTCCTGCAACAGCTTTCCTGCAATAGATTTGTTCCTGTAAAGTTGTGTATAAATCAATTTTTATAAATTGATTCATATTTTGAATGCACTGAAAGCTTGCTATTTAGAGAAACCCTGCACTAAGTCCTCTTGTAACATAAAGAATTTATTTTGTGAAATGGAAGAGAGAAGTTTATTTAAAGATATGTCTATATAACCAGCTATCTAAAGAAACTCTATCTAGATGTTTGACTTATTTTTAAAGCAGCCTAGCACTGGGGTCAACAGAAATTCTAATGGCTGAGGGCTTTGTGATCAAATTGCTTTTTTCTAGACCATGTAAAGCAGTCTTTACACTAAGTACAGGTCCAGAGGATTCTTGTTCTCATTTTTGCTTTAATTTGAGCATCTCACACTGGTGGGTGGATAGGGAATCAATGAGATCACTTTATGTTCCCTAGCAGCAGGCATGAAGATGCCCAGAAAGTTAGGAACATTGATGGAGATCCAGCACTAAACTAATGTCAGCCATCAAAACAAACCTATGATCTAATAGAGGGTGTTATATATGTTTAGAGAGTGAAGAAACTGAAGCAGTGAAGGATTAAGTGTATTCCAAGGATACTTCATTAGTAATGGACTGAATTGAGGCTTGATCAGCAGCAGTTTGACTCCAGGTCCTTTAATAACCTTACCCCATAGCCTTGTAGACATGGATGGATAGACAGATGGGTAGATGGTTGGTTAGATATAAGAGTGAATGGATAGAGATAAGAATATAAAATGTTTAAGTGCTCATGAATAGCATGAAATTCTATGAATCATTGCAGCTAATGTTTTTATGTTAAGATGCTGCTAAGATAAATTTGGGACATGTATCATTGGTTTTCATTTTCAAGAGGCCAAATATTTGCCACACATAATTGAATGCAAGTTTAGAAGGAATATTAATAGTAATCTTAAAGTCTAGAAGCCCTCATTAGTTATCCTTTGTAGTGCACAAGGGGTCTTCTTCTGGGAAATTTTATATCAGGCTTCACCATTATCTTCCCTTGTAAAAATCAAACATTTAACAATACCTCTCCACATTTTTATAGGAAAACAGTCAGTTTTGGAATAGCTATGTTTTTCAGTTTTCCACAGTTGGTACAATATCTATGTAATAGCTTTTCTAGCATACTCATTTCATCTCTTCACCTCTCTAGCTAGAGGAGTGTTGGAGTTTTAGACAAAATAAAAGTAAAAATAACAGATTTCAGCACCAAGTAGTCCTAATACTGTATATAAGCCTAATACTGTTTATAAGGAACCTTATCTACTGTGTGGAAATACACACATATTGGTTCTGCTATTCAGAACAGAGTCTCAACACTCCCCACAAACGATTGGTACTTACCATTTTTATGATAGTTGTTCCTTTAATTAATATTTCAATTTTCCACTGTAAGGCAGCATTTGGTGTTCCATCCTGCCGTGTTTGCTCTAAGAGTTGATTACTCAGCAGATGATTCATGAAGGGGTAAAGACACAGATTATTCTCTAGGAACCCTTAAGTCCAGGAAAGAAGCCTGGGAAACTTAAATAATTTCTGTGTATCTTCCAAGTATGAGAAAAAAAGTCACAGGAAAAAAATCTGTACTATATACACTGTTAGCTCAGAAGCCAATAGAAAAAGAAACTTGTTTCTATATCCTTTAAATTTTTAAACTAAATGCAAATTATTATTTGAATGCAGCTAGGATTCTAATGAATATGTATTTAAAGATTCTATCTTGATTGAAATATTAACTAGCTTAAGCTTCTCATCTTATTTGCTCTTATTCAATTCTATTTCTATTGGATTCTGGTTGTCTCAGCAGGGGATGGAGGCAATATTTGTAGAAATTTCAGAACTTGGAAGGAAGTTCATAAAAATAATCTAGTGTTTTATATTTCTTTTCACAACCCTCTAAACATCATTAATGATTTGAAAGTGTTCTGCTAGCAGAACAGGAATATGAAGACCCACTCATCCTCCTGTGCAGCCTGCACAAACAATGAATGCAAGTTTCCTGACTAAACAAACATGCTTCCGACTTCCTGCTCTTTTGGAAGGAAGATGCCAAACGTAGGAGGCAGCCATGAATTCAGGCCACTGAAGCAGTCTCTTTCAATGTGCTGCTAGTCATATTTCAAAGAACATTTTGTAATCATCGTTGACAGCTGCCTTCCAGAAGGGAAACAATGAAACATTTAAAAACACTAGCCTTTGGAAGCAAACTGCAACAGCTTAACACTAGTGAAGAGGTTCATGGTCCTTGGCTGTCTACCACCATGTGAACAGAGGGGAAGCTGCCACTCTGCTCAGGACCAAATATTTTATAAACTCCTTTACAAAACCTAGGGCTTGTTTCTACTAACATGGGCAGGACCATATGTTTAATGTGTCCTCCTGGCAGCTATTAAATGATTGATAATTACTTCTTCACTCAAGATGAATGCTTTTATCTATAATTTTCTTTTATTTGAATGCATAGAAGTCATTGGTGTTCAGTTTTTATTAAACTTCATGTTACATTTGCTGAAGATGCTCACTTCACTTAAAACTCTGTCTTCTTTACTTACCAACTTATCACCATGTCCAGAAGCAGTATGGCTGACTTCATGATTCGGTGTCTGTGTATTCTTGAACTATCACCTCAATATCTAATGTGCTGATTCATGCATAAATCGCTTAGCCATTCTGCTATTAATATTTATATGACTTCTTTGTTCACCATCATATTAGTTTCATTTATCCTTTTGACAAAATGCCTGACAGAGACCACTTCAGGGAAGGACTGATTCTGGCTGCAGTCAGTCCCAGTGGGAACGATGCACTGAGGGGATAATGTGTAGCTATGGCTTCAGGAATGTGGAGCTGCTTGCTCACATGTTAGCACCTGAGTTAGCAAGAAAGGAGGAATGAAGTTACTTGATTCACATTTTCTTTTTCTTTCTTTTCCTCTGTTCATTCAGTCTCAGATCCCAGTCATGGGATGGTGCTACCCGTATTCAAAATGGATTATATTCCTTCAGTTAATTCTCTCTGGAAATGCCCTCACAGACATGCCCAAAAGTTTACCTCCCTAATACCCTAGGTATTAAATAAATCATTCAAATTAACTATTATATCCTGATTCTAGTTTAGGGGTAAAGACATACATTACACCTCCTGGGATTCTTCGCAATATGTGTAATATGTTTCAAATTTTTAAATGCATTAAGGAAGGCTAACAAGCACAACCCGGTGGCATACACATGCCATGCAAGTCCTCAGGAGGCTGAGGGAGGAGGATCTGTACTGTGAGGCCAGCCCAGGCTACAAAGTGACACATTATCACAAAACAATTAATAAAACAATTTAAAATCCTAAATCCTACTTTTATAGGTAGTACAGGCTTGATACAGAATTTCTAGTAAAATGTTACAAAGCTCTAGTTTCATCAAATAAAGGACTGAAATACCAAATCATAACATGTTGATTTTTTTCTTCTTCACATGTTATATTTGTAAGGCGAAAACAAACAAGATATTGGTACACGGATATAAGTCTAAATTAAATGTAAAAGCTGGGGAAAATACTAATAGTTATATTGATAAATATTTTTAGTGGTTAAGCCCAATTGCCCACCTAATGAGAATAGAGTCATCGGGAGATGGGCCCCTGAACACGCCTGTTAGGGATTATCTTGATTAAAGTAATTATGGTGGGAAACCTTTCCTACTGCAGGTAGCACCAGGCCCTGGGGTGGGAACCTGGACTGTATCAAAAGAAAGACGTCATGGGCAAAGAACAAACATTCACAGCTCTATGCTTCTTGTCTGTGGATGCAACATAATCCTGCGCCCCTGATGCTGGGAGTCCCTCAGCATGACAGATTGTAGCCTAAAACCTAAAATACAACCAAACAACAAAACAAACAAACAAACAAAAATGCTTTCTCCCTTAAACTGCTTTACTGTTTAGTATTTTAGTACTTAATAGTTTATCACAGAACCAGGAAAGTGCCTAAGACAGAAAGTTGACGCAAAACAGTGGCGTTATTGCTCTGGTAAAGCCGGTCGCGTGTGTCTCAGGGCTTTAGAACAGATTTGAGGGGAATGTGGAAGAGTTTGGATCTTGAGGCAATAAAAGCCTTGAGTGCTATAAGCAGAGAGCAGTGGGTTGTTCTTCTAGGAGCATAGAGATGAAAGCGCAACAGAAACTGGGCCTGCGCAGACCTGACCCATGAGGTTCCAGAAGGGAGCACCGACTGGCTGCGGAACTGCACTGGGGCACATTTAGGTGACATTATAGCAAAAGGTCTGGCCTTATTCTACCCATGTCCTGAGAACCCTGGTGAAGTTGAATTGAAGATAATGGACAAATTTGTTTGACAGAGGAAAATTTCAAGACAGGAAAGTATTTAATATGTTTAATGGCAACTGGTTAATTCACTTTCCAGGTCCATGGTGAAAAAAGAGCAAAACATGGGCAAAAAGATTTTAAGAAAATGTGCAGTTTTGTAAGAAAAGTGGTGTGCTCAAGTTTAAAATTGCAGAAAGGGTGTGCATATGGCAAAGCATTTGTAATTGCTAAAGAGAAAATTCAGTTTCTCCACTGGAACAATAGAAAAATTGCCCGAAAGACAAGTTACACCCCCCCCCCAAAAGCTCCAACTGATAAAAGCACATTCATATTAAATGAGAAACTGTGGGCTAAGACTATTTCAAAAGATATTTCCTGCCATGAAATAACTTCCTATTAAAGTAATTTGTGTATTCAGCCATCAAGGCATATAAAAGCTACCACTATGATCCAAAGATGTATGTCTCCATCCCAAAACACTTGACAGCATTGTCCATTTTGTACTGTTTTTTTTTCAGGCATAAAAAATATAAGATCAGGGGAGTCACAGAGTCTTGACCCATGGTTTAGAAGAGTCACCAAGGCCAGGCAATGAGCAGCAGGGCCAGTGTTCCTGAAAGGAGGCCCTGAGAGGCAACTGCATGAAGGTGAGTATGAAGCCTAGGTTGCAATGGAGACCTCAGGATGTTAAAGATGTCAGGACCGTGGTACATTCACCAAAGATATTCCCAGGCATTGAATGGAGCTAGTCCAAGAGAGAGTCTACATATGCTGCGGACAGAAAAGCTGTAGGAAAAAGGCTAGAAGCTTTTTGCTACCCAGGCAATTTCATCATGAGACTCAGATGCAAGTTATGAAGATGCAGGATTTGGTGTTAGCTCTATTAGATTTTGGTCTTGCTTTGGTCTGATCTGTGATAATGTATTTTCTGAAAAATATCTTCCTTCAAAGAGACTGAAATTTTGCCAGACTTTGCAACCATAATAGTGACATGCCTTGAGATGACTGATGACTATACTCTTAATCTGTTCTGCTGTCCTGCTGTGTACTTGGCCTCTTTAAATTTAACCTGCATTAGAGAGAACAATGCAATCAACCCTACTATGCCTTGGATTTCCAATATTTTACAACCTAAGCTAAATGCATAGAGTTCACCTTAAACTGTGTATTTTTTTGTGTGTCCATAACCCAGAATAATTGCATTTTTGTATTATGAGATGAAGATGAGATTTTTGCAGGGGAGGATAGAAGATTATATGATTTAAAGTGATATAAGTGGGTATCAAGTTGATAAGGAGTGGAGTTGAGATAGTTAATCTCAAGCGTCAACTCCCTGAGGTATAGAATCACCTGGGAGACTGTCTCCAGTCATGCCTGGAGTTGGAAAGTCTGCCTGCTGTGGGTGGTACCATATGGGACTCTGGAATGTGTAAAAAGCAGAAAGTGACCTAAACACAAGCATCAATCTCTGCTTCTTGACCATTGATTTAATGTGACTAAATGCCTCAAGCTTCTACTTTTTTTGCTGTCTCACCATGTGGATGGAGCTTGGAACTGTGAACTAAAATAAACTTTCTCCCTTATGTTGCTTTTTTATCACAGGAGCAGGAGAAATAATTAAGACAGGAGCTAGCTGTCTCAGTTAGGGTTTCTATTGCTATGAAGAGACACCATAACCATGGCAACATTTAAAAACATTTAATTGGGATGGCTCACTTAATGGTTCAGTCCATTATCATCATGAAGAGGAGCATGGTGGTGTGCAGGCAGATGTGGTGCTGGAGATGAGAGTGCTATATCTTGTAGAGAATAGGAAGTTGACTGACTGTCACACTAAGGGAAGCTTGAGCAAAAGAGACCACAAAGCCCACCCCCACAGTTACACACTTCCTCCAACAAGTTCACACCTTCTAATAGTGCCTTTCCTTTTGGGGGCATTTTCTTTCAAACCACCACACTATGTTACAATTAAAAGAATTCTGAGGACAAATTCCACCAAACTAATAACCATTTATTAACAAAACGACCCCCATGTGAGCACGTAACTGATGCATCACTTAGAGAAATCCTATCTTTGCATAAATACACTGATCACCACCTTTCAGGATAAGCTTACCCATGTGCTGAGGTTCTGAGTAACATTAATTCAACTCTAGAGGAGAATGCTTTTTTCATTTGTCCAGGAGATACAGAAACATAGGACCAAGGGGACCCTGGACTTTTTTCATTACTCCATCCATAATTCCATCATTATTCCATGTAAATTTCATCATTTCTACCCATAAATAATAAATCCTCTTGGATATATTTCAATAAGTATATTTTAAGAGTTACTTAACTACTCTAAAAATGTTGGTTCCGGGCTAGGAATGTTGCTCACTAATGGAATACTTGCCTAGTATACACGAAACCTGAATTGATTCCTAATTAAAAAATTGTAAATACCAAAAATGGTACCCAGGATAAGCTAGAGCTTATTTATACACATGTGTGAGTGCATGTGCGTGCGCGCACACACACACACACAGAGGCTACAAAGAGCAGCAAACAGAACACCAAGTATGAAAGGAAGAATGGGTCAAGTAAGAATTGCCATCAACCAATACTCAGAACGTGTAAACCCAAGACTACCAGGAGATCATCTGATATAATATTTCTTTTGCATATAATTATATCTTCATTTTCAGTCAGATAAGAAAAGCATAAATTTCTTGTAACTTCCCTGACCTTTAGTTGTTTAGTATTTATTTACATGAACACTACCAGAATGACTTGTACATATTAGAAACAGTATTTTAGAATGATGTTGTATCTTTAGGTAAATGTATTTAAATAAGATTTTGATGCTTGTGATATTGTATGAGTTTGATAAAAGCAAAAGAATTGTGAGGATGAGTAACAATTCAAAAATCCATCAATCATTAATGTGGTTAGTGATGGAGATTGTTTCCTGTGGTTAAATAAAATAAAAATTGAAACTACTTATCTGGACAGTATGAGAATACTTATAACAATCCATCCCAATGTGTAGATTAAAGCCTGTCACTGTCTCAGTAATCCCATCTAAAACAAATATAGCCTAGGAACTTATCTAGTTAACACTGGATACATGAATTAAAATCATTTTGTACAAACTTATTTTTATAAAGAATACATCTAGATTCAAATGAAATTAGTTCACATTAACCTGCCATCCTCATCCAATTTCATTAGACGCCTTGAGAGCTGCAAAAGTTTTATTGAACATATAAGTCATCCTTTCTTCCAAGACTCTATGTCTTCAGGCAAGTAGTATTTTTCAATATTCAAGTCCCATTTTCGATCTGGTTATTTGTACATTACAAATAAATTATTCTCATTTTTTACTTGGTTATTATGTAACATGGGTGCTATGGTCTCTGTAATTTAGTTTAAATTGAACAGACATTCTTTATTTTTGCATTAATGGTTTTGGAATTCTAAACAGATGATGAATTCACTAGACGATTCACAATACAAAGGTGGTACACCAAGCAAGTTACTCTGATGATTTGCCTAATTAAAATTACAGAGGCATTTAGCCAACTGGCTTATTACAGAATCAAAACTACTATAAATTTTGACAGGATGAATCTTGGAAATAATTTTCCATTTTAAAGTATAAATGTTTTTATAAATTATAAAAAGTGAAACTCTTTGAGCATAATACAGGTTGCTCTATGCTGGCATCACAAGGATAAATAGTTTTCCGTTTATACAGTTCAGAGGAACTGACGACATATGAAACATTTCAATTTTTTTTTTCACAACCTGTATGGTGTTTCACTGGATCACCTTTACCACATGACAATTAAGAGATATAAAGATCCAATAAAGACTTTTCATGACATGTCAGCCCATTATTCAAATAAGTAACGCTGCATGTGGGTATGTTAGTATAGAGGGCACTGGGCAAGCCCTAGATTTAAAGCCTGTCTCTGAGATGCACTTGATGAATCCTTGGGTGAGTCACTCAGTGCCGCCAAGCTTTTGGTTTCTTAGCTGTCCAGTGCAACCCTCACACAGCTTTGGAAGTGGACTATTTCATCACTGGAAGAGTTCTGTGACCCACTAAATATGTATGAGATCGCTGTATTGGTTGTCTATTGCTGTTGTAGTGTACTTAAACTACCTGAGCTTATTTAGAGGTCGAGCACCAGTCAATCTAGGCTAAGACCCATTCTGTGTTCCTCTGTTCTCTTCCATTTCTACCTTCTCATCCTTTGTCCAGCAGTGCTTCCATCCATCTCCAAAATCAGCAAAAATGATCCTTTTTCTCTACTTTGCCCGTCCCACTAACCTCTCAAATATCTCTCCTCCTTCTCTTCCTAGAAGACATTTCTGCTTTTCAGTGCTCATCTCATTAGTTTGGCTCCACCCAGGTAATCTAGGATGGTTTTTCCATCTCAAGTCCTTCAACATTAATCATAACTGCAAGTTTCTATTAAAGTATTATGTTCGCTGGCTTTAGAATAAGGACACAGGTATATGGGGGACTACTATGATTTAGTTTACTGTTGGAGCCTATTTTTAGATTTCCTAGTGGCTTTACCCAGCAGGTCTGCAGAGAGGATGGGCCTCAGTGCAGGTAGGCACTTGACTGCCAGGGGAAGGACTTCTGCTCTGCCCCTTGGCATTCCTTTAAATACCCTAGAGCAGAGACAGTAGGTGCCTGGTAGATAAGGATCCAGGTCCTCTCCAGGCTATCCTGCATATCCTGTGTATTCTATCTGTTTCTCTCCCTTCTATCCTAATATTTTCTGTGGCTTCTACTCAAGAGTACTCTGGGGAAATGTGGAGGTGATGGATGGTCCCCCATAGTCTACTATTTAGATATTACTGTTATTGAGCCCAGGCTCATCTGAATTTTCTCTTGTAATTCCCTCTCAGTCCTGTAAGATTTTTCCTTTTAAAAAATATATTTTAATTAATTTTTAAACGCCTTTAATCCCAGCACTTGGGAGGCAGAGCCAGGCGGATCTCTGTGAGTTCGAGGCCAGCCTGGGCTACCAAGTGAGTCCCAGGAAAGGCGCAAAGCTACACAGAGAAACCCTGTCTCGAAAAACCAAAAAAACAAAAAAACAAAATAATAAATTATCATAATTTTAAAATTACTTATAATTAAAATATTTATAAATTATTTTTAAATAATTAAAATTAATTTTAAAATATTTTATAATTTACTTAAATAGGTATTTAGAGGTAAATATGTATGTGGGCAATGAAGGCTTTATGCTGGCTTATATTACCATGAGATATATCTCCAAACTTGATATTTAATAGGTTTCTTTAAAATTGGACTGAATCTGCATTACCCATTTGTTTCTTTTTTTTTTTTTTCCCCTGAGATAGGGTTTCTCTGTGTAGCTTTGGTGCCTGTCCTGGAACTCACTCTGTAGCCCAGGCTGGCCTCGAACTCACAAAGATCTGCCTGACTCTGCCTCCCAAGTGCTGGGATTAAAGGCGTGCGCCACCACCGCCCGGCACCCGTTTGTTTCTTATCTCTATTTGCAATCAAGTTCTTTGAGCACAGACATTTATTTTAAAGATTCTTGACAAATACCCGTTAGTCAATGCATGTGAGTGGATGACAGGAAACATCTCGAGACTGAAGGCTTGTTAAGATCCGTGTATCGGGTATGTCCTATGAAGAGAACAGAACACTAAATTGGATAACAGTGCTTGGCATTAGACTGTCTTATAGCTGTGTGGTTATAATCTAGATGTTTAATCTCCTTATGTCTACATTCTCTTTTCTAAAAATGGTAGCTGTATCAGTTACCTTTGTGATACGGTGGCCGTGATAGCTGGTAGAATGGTTTATTAGATGGAAGGTTTATTTTAATTCATGGTTTCAGACTGTCACAACAGGGAGGCCTGCAGAAGCTGGCAGTAGTGGAGAACTGTGGCAGCAGAAGTTCCCATCCCAGCAGACCAGGAAGTGGCGATTGACCGAAAGTGGCTGGATATAACACACCCACATAGACTGGCCTGCAGTGACCTATTTCCCTCAGCCAGGCCCCAAATCCCAAAGGTCACAGAGCCTCCTAAATTAGTGCTCCAGCTGTGAAACAAATATTCAAAACAGGAATTTGGGGGAATATTTAAGATTCCTACCATAAGAATTACAGTGCAGTCAAGTAACTTTGGGAATTTTGTGAAGACATAAGAAATACAAGCAAGAATGTCATAGTCTTCATCCTAGACATGGTGGGTAAGGTGCCCAGCAAGCTTAACATGAACAACAGAGCAGGCTTCAGCAGCCCCAAAAGTCACTCAGAATTATTTCTGTAACTTTATCTTATATTTTCAGTTCTCTACAGTATTTTAACATGTTTAACATATTTTATAGAAAAAGTTCATGAGAATTTTCTTTTTGGATCACAACAATATTTAATTATTTTCCAAAGGAAAATGATTCAGAGATTTTCAGTTTCTGCTTGTGAATTATCTGGCCCTTTTTCCTTCCTGCTATTACTCTGACTTTGGAGCAATACTTTGCTATTACAAGACTGGGTATAAATGAGAGGGAGAGAAAAATAAACCTAAACCAGTCTGTATCTGTGCTTACCGAGCCATTTAGTTGAAACCCATCAGGGAGTTTTGTGATTATCTGTTAATGTCATACTTCTGTATATTTCTTATCATTAAAGTATAAGAGTAGGTGATATTTCAGATTTTATCCTCTTCTCTCATTTAGTAACATAAAAACCTAGGCATCTCCAACATACTCATGCTTCTGAGACAGCCTGAAACTTTTAATTGTGTGAGTCTAAAAGAGACCACTCCACATCTATCTACACAACAAACTAAACCTCAGGCTCTGGGGACTTGAAGCAGAAGTCATCCTCTTGAAAAGGGAGACTTTGTAATGCTTTTTCAGATCCATTTATGTCTAAGGGCTCTACAGACAAGAACACTGTAGGTTCTCAACAGGGCCACAGTTATTGCAGTGATCTTCATCCTTTATGAGCAGGCTATTAATTATCTTCCTTTCTGGGGGAACACTTTGCAAAGCCAGAGAGCCCTTAGTAATATCTATTCTTCTGATCCATCAACACCTTGCAGTGAAGAGTCAGTTAGACTCTGTTAGGGTCTCCATCATAAATTCTGGTTTTCAGCAGTTTATAAAAGTCATTTATAAATATTCTCTTGCAGCAGGAAGAGATTTGACAGGATTTTCACAGTGATCACTTAAGGAATTAGGGAAAAGAAATTGTACCATATGGTTGACATGTTAAAGGAAGACAGAAAGAGAGAAATCAAAACAAACTATTGGAA